CATAGAGGTCAAATTCTTTTCCCCTCAAGCATTTCGAACGCCCGTGTGCACGAATTTCTATCGGAATGGATTTTTCTTCCCCCCCCTTTCTAAATAAACTGATTACCTCTCTCTTGAGGATCTTTGTGCGATTTCATCCACTTTGTGCAGTTTCCCCTTAGGACAGAATTGCAACTGCGAGCATCAATAGGTAAACGTTGACGCTAAACGAAGGACAGGGAAGGTGCATTCAAATAAGACAGCTATTTTAGTCGCTTGAAAATAATGACGGGCATTTCATTTATAAACTCCGGTAATCAATGAGCCATGTACTAGCGTGATGGTGGAAGGCGCCAGATAGAAAAAAGACGCAGGCATTCGGGCGACTTGCCGTTGTCTGAATACAGGGGCGGTCCAGGCGAATTCGCTGTGAAAGAGTTAATATCCTAGAATTGGTACTGGTATTATTTCCGATTTGGTAGTGATGTTTTTGCATTGATTTTTTATTATAAAATATAGATATAATATTAAATACATTAAAATAAAGAAGTTCACCAATTAAGAAATTTTAGAAATCTCTAGCCACTTAAGAAATTCCATTTCTGTGGTATACAATATATATGACTCGTGAAAATAATACTTTGTCAGAATAATAACTGTTAACAAACTAATAGTAATTAGCAAAAAATTACTTTTATCGCGCCTTTAACGTTTCATTTGGTGTTGTAAAGAATTTGCGTGTGTGTTTAGTATCCTGAGTATCTACGAGTGTATAAATGCAATTTTAATCTTTGCGAATGCCTTCCAAGGATCTAAGGCTATCATCAATTATACGTAGTAAGGATATAATCAATTATAAATAGAAAGGGTATAATCAACTATACAAGGATGTAACCAATTACACACAGAAATTATTAGTAAAACTATTTTAAGTAAAATGTGCTCATTATTTTTATTTAAAATACCTAGATGCAGAAAACATTTCGCTCTTAGAAAGCACAACAAAGTTAAGACAAATATGACAAAAACAATTTCATGGGAGCTACACACAATACGAAAAATTTAAATTGTCAGTCAAAATTTCAGAATGAGTTAGCTGGAATCGGGGAGGCTTCTAACTAATTGTTTAAATCATATACTGCGAGTTACAAAAATAAGGGCTATATATATTTCTATAAATACTTTTAAGATTTTCATTCATACTGTGGTCTAGTGAAACTAAATTTCAGAGAATATGTAACAATTAGTGTTTCTCTGGTATTCTGGAAAATGCTAAAATGAGTTAATGAACTGGAAAATGCTCTGAAAACATTCTCTGTATTTCAGAGTTACCGGTTTACAGTTAGTGCATTCCTTGCTAAGTAAGTGAAGAATACTGCTGCATAATTTCCGTGTTGCGCACATTCTTCGGTGAGCTTAATTATTTTCCTGATATTCAGATAAAAGATGAATTTGTTCCAGGAATTCAAAGTACGTGAGACATTTGTGAGAGAAATAAAAGAGGAGAGATTTATGCTGCAAAGCTTATTAAAATGTTTCGAAGCCGGAAACATACAAAATAAACTATGTCCTCATCGGAAACTGAAGCGGATATCCCAATTGTTAATTAAATAGAATAACATCATGAGAATCATGAGAATACGCACAGAGTGATGCAGTAATTCCTTACATTTTTCCTCATTCAAAAGCCGGCTAAAGTCGACCAAATTTATATGGAGACGATTTCTTGTCCAGTTGGTGAGAGCTAAATAAATTCAGGTAGTCAGAGTTGTCACCCACTCCATTTTAGTTTGTGTGCTACTGTTTCTTAAAACGTGTTTTAAGTTTTTTAAAGCAGAATGTGTAAAATATCAGCTGTACCCTTGCCAGGATTTGAACTACGGATCTTTCAATCGCTACCTGGATGTGCTAATCACTTATTTCACGAAAGCACGCACGGGAGATATAATAATCCTTTCAGTGCGTATAAATTTAAAATGTTGAATTACTGTTTCAACTTTTATTTATGAAATGCTGAGTTATACTGTGGAAACTTAAATTTTTTAAAAGGCATATAACTTTACGTTCTTTGCCATTTTCAGAAAACGAAGCTAATATAGACTTTATTTTTATTTATTTATTTTTATTTCAAGAATTGTATCTTTCTATGTAAAATGGGAAACTTGTGGTCGAAAAGAAAATGTCGAAGAAAGTAATTGTGAAAGCAGTAAAGAAAATTGTCGTTACCGGTGAATTTGTACAATTCCAAATTTCATTTGTTACGTCATTTGTCTTATTTCATTTGTTTATTAGAAGTGAAATTTGTACAATTCCAAATTTCATTTGTTACGTCAGTTTTCATTGAAATTTGTATATTTTGTCAATGTGATATATTTGTAAGGCCTTTTTGGTCTTTTGAGATTGATATTTAAAACGTTCTGAAATTGTTGTATAATATGAGGTCTTTTAGCTGCCCATCGATACAACAAACCGATCCCTTGGTGTCTAGCGATCAATGATACCTGTTAGCGGTTACTCGTTAAGTTTAGTAATGGCACAAAATGCTCTGACGTGGGTGGCAAGAAAAGAGGTCCTAAAAATAGCTCGAGGTACTTCAGATAATTATTCGCTCTGGCTTCGAGGATTTGGTCCGCCATTTTGCCCCTTTCGATTGCAAAGAGCGTTTCTTTGTATTGCACTGCTCCCTCGGTGCCTTGTGGCAAACAGAGATAAAAAGCAAACAAGGTTGAAGTGGTACAGCTCCCGGTTTTTTACAAGATGTTACTTTTCCCCAACCCCGAATTTCATTAGCACTAATTCGCGATTCTTTGCTGAATATACAAACTTATAGTTCTGATATTTGATATAAGTACGTCATAGCTTCTTTAAATAAATCTCGTACAATAAAATTTATTATAAATCGCATTTTGGTTTTAGACTTCAACAAGACTGCTGTGACTTTCATAACAAAAATAACTGGAAACAAGTCAATTCAAAATTTACAATTCAACTGAATTTCTGTAATTTACATAATATCAAAAATAATTTTAAACTCAAATCAGCTAATTTTTCATACATCTAAATCTACCTAAGCCGAGTTTACTTCTCTTAAACACTTCGATATTCAAACTAAAACAATTCAGATTCATCCAGAATGTGCATCGCTGCTACATTGCCTTTAAAATATTACAGTAAGAACTTTTTAGAATCTGATCACATCCTAAAATCAATCATAATCCAGCATGAATTTAGACAAAAAAATGAAGAAAACAATGTATATTTGTACATATTTATGATCTGTTAAAATATTATTTCTGGTTTTGAAAATGAGCATATTTATTTTATTATATGTTGTTTATATAGTAAGTTTACTTTATATTTTTCGCCAATAGATGCAGCTGTTGAAAAATAGTCTTTGACGAATCAATAATCACTGCAGTTACCTCTGTTCCCTCAGTTGTTTATGCATATTAGCTTTAATTTCTGTAACAGTAGTTTGAATGCAAATTGACATTTGATACTTTCTAATGCATGGAAGAATGCATACGTCAACCTTGCCCTGTACTGGCCAACTGTTTGCTTGAAATTAAAACCAAGAAAGTTGAATTTGAAACAAGCACGTTATTTTCAGAGCATTAAATTAACTCTGAGTCCAGAATATGTTCGTAGTCCTGCCAATTTTATAATGAGACATAAGACTGCTTGATTTTTTAATACAAACTATGCACTTATCACATCATTTCTACTTTTATTATACGTTAGGGTTACGTGGAATTCTGTTTATTACTTTGGTATAATTTATTCGGCGCTACTGTTGCCTTGGTAACACTCCAAACGTCTCCTGCACAAAATAATCGTAACTATTTCCTCGCTAACATCGTTTTGACTTTAGAAAGGTTTCGTAAGAACTGCTTGCTTTCAGAAGGTGGGGAACATGCACTCCAAATAAATTAACGAGGCATATGGTATCTCATTTTTTCGCGATTTTAATTAATTCATTTCAGTACCTCATTTCTCAGTGTGTTTGTTTATTTTGTAATATTAACGTATTTAGCTTGCTTCGAAGAATAATCCTGACGCGATGTTCCAAATAGGTATATAATTCTGTTCTGTGCGCTTTTTTACAAAAAGGTATTAATGTCGTCTTATTACAATATAATTAATCTCTTCATGCCAGCATAATTTATTGCAGGCATAAATAATTATAAACATGATTAATATATGGCAGGTATGACTTTTCATTTAAAGGAAAACACATTCAAGCATTACGTAGCAAAATATAATTTTGTTAAAGGCATAACATTACCGTAAATAGTTTAAGAATGAAACTTGCAGTGATTTTAAGCAAGAAGTGTTTTAAATAGTAAACATAAATAATCATATGACAAACAAATTAGTTTTGAAAATGTTTCATTCAAAAGATTTAATTGCGAAGAAATAAGATTTACTGGCGAAATTTTCCATTGACATGGTTTTAAGTAATAAAAAAAATCAGTTTTTGAAATGCGAATAGATAATACAGCCAATTTTAATGATAAATGTTTTATAACCTGTTCTTTCAGATAACTACAGAAAAAGTCATAAATTTGTGCTCATTTTATTGCGGTATTTTTCTTTCCATTTTGTGAATGCAGAACAATTAATTTTAATTAAATTAACTGAAATTATTCTTTTACATTATCTTCAAATCTTTTCAGGTTTCAAAATTTTAAATAAAAATTCATTTATATAATAAACATGCATAATTTAATGCATGAAATATATGGCAAATTCTTAATCATAATGGTATGGAATCCTAATATTTGCGTATTTTTTTATTCATCGAAAGTACTTTTAAATAAGAAAGAGCACATTTTACTTCATTTGGCTTATTTAAATAATAGAACATTTTACTGACTAATTTATAACAGAGTCAACATTCGTAATAGACTAAACACTTTCTGAGAATAACAGAATTCTATAGATTATGTATTGTATACATAATATTTATAAATAACTTATTTATATTAAAATAATTGTTGAAGCATTCAACTAAAAATAAATGACTGTTCTTAAAAGTACGCTATTTATTTTCGATATTTACATCGTGTTAAATCTCTGCTCGTTCTTATGACACTAGGGAAGTAGCTGGATGACCAAAGTTCCAAACGGACGAAATACACAAATCTGGAGTCTCGATAGTAACAGCCTCCAAAGTGAAAAAGTCAGCATCGTTATTTTACGCCGTATTTAATAGTATCGTTTTTACCATTTAGCCATATACTGAGCCATTCCTGGCCCACCAGTCATAATGACATTTGCGCCTCCATAGTGTGCAGGGCCATACCAGGGAGCAGCAGGAGCTACAGGGGCAGCGGCTGGAGGAGCTTTGGGTGCCATAGCCGCGAGAGCTGCAGCAGCTGCGGCGGTCTTTCTATCGACAGAGATGTCTCCACTTGCTTGATAGCCTCCTGGTCCAGCAGTGTATTGAACGGTGCGAAGATCTCCGTTAGGATCAACATAACTGTAACTTCCGGCCACGTTTCCAGCGGAACCGGATTCCACTCGGCTGTGTCCGCCTGCATCTCCGGTGGCGTATCCGAAATTGTAGGCTCCACCGTGGATATTCATACCCATATTGGCGGCCATTGCGGCAGAGGCCAAAAAGAGTGGAAACAGGAGCTGAAAAAATAACCACGTGAATATTATAAACTGTCACATTAGGGAGAAGCATTTTATTTAATTTCTGGTTTTAATTTCAGTGGTTTAATAAAGTTGTTTAGTTATGAAGGGGGTAAATATTATGCAAGGATAAAGGAATAATTTGGAAGGAAAACTTTTCCGCAAAGAAAAAGAAAAATAGATATATATGATGGCAGCCCGTAATTTTGTTAGAAATTAGGTTGTGGTAGCGTTTTAATTAATTTTTTTTTTTTTTTTTTTTTTTAAATACTGCTGGACGAAAACGATTGATTGGAAAAGAGATTTTCAATGAAAACCTCAGTGGAAATAAACATAATCTCTAGAAGAAAAATTGATATCTAATGTTTCTCAATAGACTTTTTTGTCTATTGTAATACAAAATAAATAATGCATATTTATTTTGCATTTTTCATGGTTATTGATAAAAATTTATTTTTTATGTATGAAAGATTAATGTATGTGTTTTATATATTAAGCTAGAAAATTGCTTAATTTCATGTCCATTGCATTTTTTTCTTCATTTTATTATCCGGTTAAAATTCTTTTACAGCAATATATTGCAGAATTTTGTGCATAACAGCATACAGATATTAGAAGATTTGTGATTCATTGTGCTAGTTGAGATTAATTATGTCTGTTTTCTCTGACCATTTACATTTGGTATCTTATATTCAAATAGTACACAGAAATATTCTAGACCTACAACATAATTTCCTAATTGCCTTCCCTTGTTAATTCTTCCATACACAGATATTCATTATTTTATCCGTATGCAGTTATACATATGTAATAGTTACATTTAAAAATGCATTAGTTTATGCGCAGATAACAATTAAGAAAATATAAAAAGCATATAATTAGAGTTTTATTTTTAAAACGCCTAATACATGCTTCGAATAGAAATGCATTTTGAATAATAGCAAAATTATAGAATTACAAGCAAAACCTGAGTGTATTCATAACTAGAAAAATTAAAATTAATCAAGAAGTATTAATTTCTGAGAAAGTATTAGCTTCTAAGAGAAAGCTAATTTTAATTCGTTTGACGAAATGTTGATATTCTTGAAATTTTCTCATTGTTATATGAATTAAGTGTTGGAAATATTATTTTTTAATGAGAAATTTTAGTGGTTACAAAAATTCATAATATATGGTTGTTGCCTTAAATATGCTGAGAATTTTAACTTTCCATTTGGTTAAAAAATTCTTTCGGTTTCAATTTTAAGTTGGAAAATAACAATCAAAATGAGTTATTGACAGTTTAATTATAGCTAGAAATATTTCCTAAATATAGCATTAAATATATCAATCACTATCAAATTTTCATTAATATTTGCATTAACAATATTATACAATGAAATAGTTTTCTAGAATTCTATAATCCTGCATTTGTTAACTATAATCCTTGCTTCTTTGCTTACGGCATCAAAATTTATTTATGCCTGTAATGAAAAGCAATTATAATTCAATGATAACTGATTACACGGTTTGAAATTTCTCAGATAAATGTATGCTAAATGTCTTTCAAAGAAACATTCTGTGTATTTTGGGCTCTTAAAGTTTGAAAATATTATGATGGAAATGCAGTTATGCAGTTTTAACAGAAAGATTCAAAAACAGGATCCACATTCCGAGTTCCTGATAGATGTTTTAAATTTAAAGGTAATGCGTATCGTTCTGAGAGCAGTTTAACTTTGTATGTTTTTTCCTAAATTATATTTGGAATATTTCTTCATTCAACAGGTGGAAGTGTAGTTTTTAATCCTCTGATGCTGAGACAGTAATATAACCAAATTTAAGTATAGTAAATTTTAAAGTTAGAATAAATTGTAAAATTCAGTATGTTCAAATCTCTTAAAGTTTGCAGTTATCATTTATCTAAAAGGTATACAGAATTTTATGTTCTTCGGATGAATTGCAAATTATTGTTAACATATCTTTATTGTTTGCTTTAGATGCACTAAAAAAGCATCATCCTTTGCAAGTAATCATAAATAAGGTCAGTGACTTTAATAACTTTTAAACTTATAAACCACCGCCGATTTTTATGTAAATAATATAAAAGTATCTTGTAATCTGAAGATTGCTGAGCTAAAATAGAAGAAAACTTCAGTTAAAAACGTTTTTTTTTTTCAGGAAATTAATAAATTACTATGAAAAATTCGCATCTCATCAAATGCAATAATACACTGTTTCTGATATGTTTTAGGTAACGTACTCGCGATATGAATTTTTATAAACAAAAGTTTCTAAAACTGAATAAAAGATTGGAAGCTAAAGTCTCCCTTTTAACATTCATTTCACACCTAAAGCTCAGATTCATCAGATAAGATTCTCTCATTTAAAAATCTTGAGCAAAAATGTATTCCTTGTATAATTATCCTCTAAAATCCTGTTTAATTTCATCTTTATTTAACTGAGCAAATTAAAAAATAAATCTATTTATAGGAATATCATATCAATAATTATTTAGAAATTCTAACTGAGGAATATATACAAATTAAATTCATCTAGTTCTCTTCCTCAACATTCATGATTGCAAACTTACTTTCGGTCGTAATAAAATTTCTATGGATGGCTACAGAAACATTATGAATCATTTTAAACAAGTAACTGGCTTAACAAATCGTTAAAAGGAGAAAATGATGAACTTACAAACTTCATTCTTAAGTCTCGATAAGGCTGGTACTACAGACTCCGAAAGATGTGATATGATAGACGATGAGCAGTCGGCGCTATTTATACCCGACTAAATTTTGATATATACCAAATTCTTGTAGAGGTATGCTTTTCATGGCCACCGTGTTTAAGAAGCATCATTAGACAGGATAAAAGAGAAATAAAATTTCGAGCAAGGTCATTTGCTTTTAAACAAGTATGGGAAGAGTATGATTTCCGCTTTGAATCAACAGCATCTTTTTTATTTTTAATTTCGAGAAAAAGAATGACTTAAGTAACAAGTATTTCTTGTTTACGCGTATTCATTATGTTATGATTTTAAGTTGTAAAAGACAACTTCCATGATAACCATCGATAATTCTCAACTTTGATTATTGATAAAAATCTAAGGGTAATTAAAAGAGACCTTTCCGACAGTGTAAAACGTGAAAATTTCCATTTTTTATAACCCAGCTATTTTTCTAGTAACGCTTACTGCATAGTCAAAATATTTTGTTTAAGAAAACTGTACATTATTATGTTAAAATAAAAATTTAATTTTTATCTTCATTATTATATTTCTAGTAAGAAATTTTGAGAAGACCTTCAAATGATAGATTTCAAGTACAAAATCACATGTAAATAAATACAGATAAACATTTTTTATACATAGAATCATTTCGAATTTACGTTGATTATTTAAAAAATTATTTAGGAATTTTTGTGAAACTAATTTTATTCTAACATATAGAGCAAAAAGTTTGAAACATTTTTTAATTCTAGAAAGTTCTAATTCTTAAAAGTTATAGCACATTATAAAACAAAATAAATACTTCAATAATTATTATTTTTTCAAGAAAAATTATCCTTTCCTGAATGATTCCCTAAATCATTATTTCAACTTTGAAGTAATGGAATTTTTCAATTTTTCGAAGCTCTGTATGTGTATTACTGTACACCAGATTGGGCAAAAGCGCAACGAATGCAGATTTTTTGATTGCTTAATCCGACCCGTTTTGAAATCTTGTGCAAAGGCATTTTCATATCTTTTCTCCTCGATTCACGCAAGCAACCAAAATCAGCAGCTTGAGTGTGCATCCGTTATTAGTGTATATGCACATGACTTACACTAACGGTCAACTCAGGCTGAGAACATTAGATATGCTTAAAAGCATGTGCATCCGTTGAAGAATGTAATTTCATCATTTCTAGCAGCTTTAATTTAGAAATTAAGCAGTGAAATGGGAATATTGTTGACATAAGTGTGATCAGAAAAGGGAGCTACGAAAAAGAAGGTTTCATCCGCGAATTTGTATTTAAAATGATGCTGCATTACGGATTCAGTTAGAACTGACTGATTTGAAGTCAGATCATTTGTTAAATAAAAGGTTTTTTTCAAGAAAAACAACACATTTTATATGATTTCTTGAATGCAGATAAATTCAAGCATTTTTCGTATTATGTCAAAAAGTATTTAGTTTTGTTTAGATCTACATACTTATCTGAGGCCGTTTAGAGACTAATATCCCATTCAGGACTAACGTCCCTTTTAGGCTAATAATAAATTTTTGGAAGATTAATTTTTGTTGTTATTACACATAACATTTTTCTGCAAGAAATAATCTCAATAACCTTCATTTGTTTTTCTCCTTATATTATCAGCAAAATTTCTCGGGTACTCCAAAATTGAATTTTAATCTATTATCTTTCTTATTAATAATTTTACTGTTTATCTTCTGTCTTATTTTAGATTTTAGAAATTTGCAATGTTTTTTAGAATAATTTACCACACTTAAGACATTAAAATGCTATGTTAAAAGACTCGAATCCTATAACAGAGGAGGAAAATTTAATTAACTTGTATAACTAATCATTGTTAATCTTTTAACCCTTCTTCTAAATTTAGATTTACTAAATTTATGAAAGCAATTTCTTTGTTTTGAATTATGTGTTGTTGAAGCCTAGCATATGCTGTTTTACATTAATTCTTTATTTAAGTAATTTAAGTGTTTATTTCCAACCGACAGACCAGAAAATTATCTTTCCTTGAAGAATTCACATTGCATGGCAAACTCTCTATAAATACATTGAATTTTCCTAGTAAACCTAATGAAGTCAATTTATTGAATTTTGGCTACTTTTAATGCAACATTCGTAGTTTTCTAATTCAGACATCATTGTCATTGATGTTTGATGCTTACTTTAACAGAGAAATCATCTATAATGTAATTAAAATAGTTGAGATAATCAAGCTAGTTTGAAATTTAACTCATCTGACCGGAAGCTGATTTGCTTAATAATATATCTTCGAATTCGACGAAGTTAAAACTTCATTATCCTACTTAACATCGCAAATTAAAACTTTAACTACACAATTGAGCTAAAGCTAATGCATCCTGTACATTTACGCAAAAACATGCTTGAATTTTGTATGAAACCTTACTCCAATAAAAGAGAAGTATTATAAATTTCTTTTCTTACTAACATTTAGTATTTAGAGGTGATATAAAACTTTTCCGAATTAAAAATAATACTAGATCACACGTAACTCCCTCACCAAAAAATTAAGTTTTTCTGCATTATAATTTATACCTATTAGAGAGCTCCGCACATGGAACTGTACATTAAATAAGAAATATGCAGGAGCTTGATTTCTCCTCCAGTATGGTTGGAAGCCTGAAAATCCTGTTCCATAGCATCATGCTCACTGCAGGGAGAATGGGTGAAACAGCGCAATCTGTCGTATTCGAAGATAATGAATGGCTGAACAAGCGAATTTAGTCTTGCATAGAATGCGTGGTTAAGATACCGATTCACAGCTTAACAAGACATCGTTCGACTGCATCCTATCAGAATTTGGATTGTATATTTGCCCACCTCCTGACATTTGGGATGTACTGGTGGGACTGATAAAAGAGTCAATGCGTATAAAGATGCCTAGAAGATATATGTTTGAAATCTTTAAATACTGGTTTTTGATTAAAAATATAAATTAACATCAAGTACTTGATATAAATACAGAGCAAACAGATTGACTGCAGAAAATTTATCATGCGCAATTTTAAAATTATTCTCTTTAGAAAATACTCAACCGCAAATTAATTAACATGAATGAATTATAATAAATCTTCAATTGTTAATTCAAAATAAAATATTTTTAAATGATTATGGCAGAATAAACTAAGATTATCTGCTTAACTCGGTATCTTTAATAAAGAAAGAGTTTAAAATAAAATGTTCAAACATTCATAGAGCCTAAAACTTATTAGTTCTGCAAGTTGTTGAACTTACTCTTTATACATCCTCCTTTTACGATTAACCAAAGGTATGACTTATATACACGTATTTAAATTTCCGATAATGTAGAATGATATAACGTAAATTGGTGTAAATAGCCACTCCTGAAACAATAATTTAATATTTTTCTCTTATTAAGTAAGATAAAGTAAATTGTTGTAATTTTTAAATTTAATTTAATTTTTCATGTAATTGATGTGTGTATGTAAGCTTTGTTACTGTGAAAAAAAACGCGTCTGCGTTTAAAGTACTTTCTCAGGCTAATTTAACACAATAATTCGTACTTCTTTAATACTTTTAAACATTAAAGGAAGAGTTTTAATTATCTTTATTTTACCTCTTCTCAATAAATTTCAGTAAAGCGTCCCAAAATTATCTCGTTTTTACTACAAACTTTAAAAGAAAACTGTATTTTTATAGGAATTTTACATGAACAATTAAGAATAAAGTATATTTTAATAGAAATTATAATTACACATGTAATGTTGGCATTTTTTATACAGGCAAGTGCGAACAGTAAATGTAGTTTACACTAATTACCTCTGCGACGTCAGTGTTTCTCATACACTCAGGTATGAGTAAACGTAATTTACATTGCTTTGCATTTCGCATTCATAACATATCTGGGAATTTTTAACTGCAACTTTACACTTCAAATCACTTATGGTATATTTTTAAACAAGGGGCAGCGCTGAGTCTCACATTGCAGTCATAATATTTTGTGTCTCTTTGCTTTCTTCATTTATCTAAGAGCAGCATGCTGCTTACTGATGAGTGATTTTGATTTGCTTTTCAGTAGGAGAGGTAATTTTAAGAAAGGTGATTTGTTAATTGCAATGGTTTTGGTTAAGTCCCTGGACGATATTTTAATTCCAGATTGTTCTTTTAAAAAACCTTGGAGCGTAACCAATGACACAAATACACGAATTTCGTTTGATATCAAGGGCTGTCAATATTTTTAAGCGAAATGATGTGTATGTTATGTCCCTGGCAATATTCTTCAACATAGAGTTTAGTTCCTAGTACAATAACATGAAAAATTGCTCGAAAACATCGTATTCTGATTATATTTCCTTTCGATAAACATGTGAATGCATGGAGAACCGAAAAAGAAAAATCTCAGTGAGAGGAAATTTCACATCTATCTCACAGAATGTTCAGACTTATTCGAAGTCATCTTTCAAACTAATTTTGTCATCTGAAAGTCTGTAAAAATTCGAAGAGTGCCCATATTCACTCAGTAAAGTTTCATATCTGAGACTTTACAGTCACATCAGTTTAATCGCCCATGAAACACTGTGCATGTTTTTTTAATTCTTTACATTTTATGCCAATACCCAAAATCAAAACACGCAAGTTTCAATAATATAACTTTATATGCTTTAATGAGACCATAAGAGTTTAATAGTATTATAAAAATCTCTAAATAAACCGCTTATCAAATACAACACAGTGTATCCAAAGAAAGCAGGTGTTTCACTAAGAATTCACTAGCAAAAAGGGAAAAAAAAATTACAAACTTTTCCAGGTCCGGTAATGTAATCTAAAAAAAAAAAAATAATAATAAATAATAATAATAAATAAAATAAATAAATAAATAAATAAATAAAACAAATTAAATATTCAGAAACTTAGAAATAAGATGCAAAATGGAAATAAGATGCTCCTACCCAGCGTATTCCCCCTTCCAAAAAAGTTAGCTGTAACGGGAGGAACACATGGTGAAAATTGCTAAGCTCTTCTACTTAACGATATTAAAATTCAAAGAAAATCAAAAATGAAGAGAAATTGAACCGACATTGGTTTGTACTCTTACTTTACAGTATGTAATCGCGC